ATCTTAAAACAAGTAATATAGCCACCATAAGAACCATATGTAGAAATGTTAGGTGGAACCATATGAAATTCCCAGTTTTATAGATCTAATACAGTTACTATTGATGACTGATTTCATGCTTCAACTTAGTCAAAGTGGTTGTATTAGAGACTGGGGTCTAGGACTGGGGACAGGTATGAGACTGCTTATATTTATTTACTATATACATAGAGTGTTCTAAATGAAAGAAGACAAACTAGCAACAGCGTGTCCTGGCTTCCTCCTCCACCATTCACCCACCCAAAGTACTTTGCACACAGAGTAGAATGCTTAGCTTTCTTCCTTTTTTTTTTTTTTTGATATGGGGATTGAATCCAGGGATGCTTTATCACTGTTCACATCTCCAGCCTTTTTTATTTCAAAACGTGATAGAATTTCACTAAGTTGCTGAGATCCTTGATAAGTTGCTTAGGCTGGCCTCAAATTTGTGATTCCTGCCTTAGCTCCCTGAGTCACTGGGATTTCAGGCATGAGCCACCATGCCTAGCTTAACTTTATTTCTTGATTCATGCTTAGTTTAGTTAGACTGTATTGACAGAAAATAATTTAACTATGAGAGTCAGACTGAGACTTGTATTTTGCTTTGTGTTATAGTTTGAATCAAGATATATTCATTGACCACCTGTAATTTGTTTAACACTTAGCTAGACATTATGGTGAATTCACAACAAAATAGTAATTCTATTAGAATAATCAAATAAAATAGTAGATGACACAAAGGATGATGATTGATTTGTGTAGTTCAGGTCTTTAAGAGGAAATGAGATTATTTTAGATGTAGAACAGTTTCACTGACATAAAAGTTGTTCCATGAACTGAAAGAGAAGATTTAGATAGACAGCAGTCTTGGTGAAGGAAACATTAAATGTTAAAGATGTGGAGGTTTGGAAATGTCATTTTATGTTTATGGACAAAGACTGAGTAAAGGAACAGTAGGAGAGATAAACCCATAAAAGTCTCATGAGGTCATATTCAGACCTTATATACTATGAAGGTTTCTCAAACTTAGCCCTGTTGACATTTTGTGTTGGTTGATTCCTTATTATGGAGGCCTATCCTATACATTGTAGGATATTTGGCAGCATTGCTGTCCTTTACTAGATGAACACACACAATGTCTTCTCTACCTGTACCTGGCAACCATTGTCTCCAGTGGCACCAGACATTGGCAGATATCCTCTGGGGAAAAATTGTCCCCACTTCATAATCACTGGATTTGGTTTACCTTGAAAAGGTAAGATGACACAGCTGGAACTAGAGTCAGGAGTAAAGGATGAGCTGTATTAAGAGACAGACAGAACTAGTAAAAGATACCTCTAAGATGGTAATTCTGAATAAGTAATACATAGTGATCTGTTATCTATTATATATACTTATGATACTAATTCCTGTTGCAGTGTCTTGATGAATAGAATGAGGTTGATGAAATTGAATAAAAGGATTATTTATATTACAAAATTAAATCTCTGAATTGAAACGTAATGCTTTTAATTGTTTATATTTATTATGAGCAAAACTTAAGCATTGGTTGTAATGGTATTGATGATTGTCATTAGTTAAAATAATTTTAATTTTATTATTGAATATTATGAAGGGATTCTTGAAATTTCATTTATTAAATTCTGTTAAAATTCCTCAACGGTCTGTTAGTTGAAATAGCTATTCTTTGGAGAGATTCTGACGTGTATTTAAAAAAGGTTACTTTTTAGTTAACCAAATGGGAAATAGAATTTCAACTTAAAATTTTTTAAATGTGATGCAAAAAGTTTATTGTAGAATTGTAATTAACTCTGTCCTTATGCCTAAGTAGCTTTATTTGACATATCTGGCTCATTTCTCATTTCTTCACGCTATTATTTCTTTTTTTGGTGTAGGACATATTGGAATGATAGATTTGGAACATGTCATAGAGTCGTTCTTTGATTTTGTAGGAAATTTTTTCTTTTCACCCTCTAAAAATATAGGCAACCAAGGATCTTGTTTTCTTGCTATTACCCATCTGTGCTTATAAATACTGTTTATATCCATCCCTGAAGTGCATATGTACCAAAAAGAAGTGATGAGTAATCAGATGAAGAAGTTATTTTTCAGATATCAAAGAAAGATAAAATTTGATATATTTCTGATCCCTGCAGTTGGAGTATGAGTAATGTGTTATGTTTGGTGGACATAAAAAGGGTTGGACATGCTACTGGGATTTCAGTCTATGGAGAAATTTCATATTCTTCTAATAATGTATTAAAAAATATAAAATATTATAAAAATTTTAATTTTTTTTGGTACTGGGATTGAACTCAGGGGCACTCGACCACTGAGCCACATCCTCAGCCCTATTTTGTGTTTTATTTAGAGACAGGGTCTCACTGAGTTGCTTAGTGCCTTTCTTTTGCTGAGGCTGGCTTTGAACTTGTGATCCTCCTGTTTGAACTTGTGATCCTCCTGCCTCAGCCTCTTGCTTCAGCCTCCTGAACTGCTGGGATTATAGGTGTGTGCCATTGCACCTGGCAAAAGTTTTAATTTTTTAAAAAAATTTTTTTATTACAAAACAAAAACAAAATCAAAGTGTATCAGTGTACCTCTACAGTAATTAAAAATTGGCATTGGCAATGGAAAAGAAAACAAATTCACAAAAATCCCTGACATTTTGTAACATTTAACAAGTAATAGCAAAGTTGGATTGGTCTCAGTTTTGATCAAGTACCCATACTTCTGTGCCAGTTAATCTTCACTTTTGTGTCTAACATTGGATTTTTTTTTTGCTGAAAAGACTTCTAGAAAATCGATCTAGAAGAATAGTACCTTTTCATGTTTGAATTTTCCTTAGTTAACATGCAAAAGAATTCCTTCTTTGCCTTTGAAGTATTTAGTCAACTCTAGTTATTATTTATTGGATAACAATTTAAAAACATCTAGAAGTTTTGGTTGTTTTTTATACCAGAGATGATTCTTCTTGGTAGATTGGGTTGAACTTTGTTAATTATTTGTAAAATTCTTGGACTGAATAGAAGTCACTTATTTGTTAGTGATATCAGGCCTATATTCTTTAAAATCCAAGAAACTAAAAAAATCCAAAAGTATTTACTAAATTTGGCACAACCTTATTTAATGACAAAACAACAGATCATTTGGAGTATTTATTTCTCATATCCTACAGGTATTTATTCTCTGTGCCGGAGAAATATTGTAATTGATTATAGGACAATAACATAGACCTCATTGGGAGTATATGGTATGTATGCCATGCCACCCTTCTAAAATCTGCAAAATTCTGAAATTTGAAAGACATCTGGCTCTAAAGCTTTGAAATAGGGAATTGTTAATCTTCAAGGTATTGCTTGTTTATGATATTATATGCAAGATTGTTTAAGATGGGTGTTTTTCAGAATACTCCTGAGTAAGTTGTACATACTTACATGATAATCTTGAGATTGATATTGATTTCATAAGGTCAGTTAACATTTGTTGCTTTTTATTTTTTAATTTTTGAAGACATGTGTTTTAACTCATTATGGCCAGAAATGCATTTTACAATTTGAATTGTTTTCAATTTCGTGAGGGTTTTTTTTGTATGTATTTTTTATTTGTTCTAATTAGTTAAACGTGATAGTAGAATGCACTTTAACACATTATACATAAATGGAGTATTTGCAGGATATTTTTATCAGTCGTTTGTATAGTGCTTCTCAGGTGCTTTAGATACCAGATGCTAATTGCAGACAACTTCTTTCACCTTTAATGCCCAGTTAATTATAGAGACTAAGGCAAGTTGGGTTCATAGAAATTCAAATGGTGTGGAAATGCTGACTTTTTTCACTAATTCATCATTACTGTTTTCTTAGTTTTAGGAACAAACAATTCATTTTCCTTTGGTGTAAACTCTTTCTCCTCCTATTTCCCACTTCCTTTTATCGTTCCCTTTAAATATTTTATTTGATTGGGTGAAAAGAGGATTAGACAGTTATGAAGGAGTGCTGGACTGGGGACTTGGCTGCCCTAGGCAAGAATGGAAGAAACTTACTAGAAAGCTTATAGGTCTGTAAGAGCACTTTGTTGTTTACTACTTATCTTTTCAGTAACTATCATGATGGTTCATTTCTAGGATGGATTCATTTATTCATCAGTTACTTCCTTTCTAGGGCCTAGAAGTTTTGAAAGTTTAGGTGACTTCTTTTATTATTACAGATAGCATCTTAAAAAGCAGGAAAATTGATAATCTCTTTTTCAGTTTCCATTTTCTGTGCCATTGCTATTGTCTTGATCTGTGTACTTGATCTAAAATTGATTTGGTCTGTCAGGGATGTGATACAAGTTGACATATGCATATCTATGCTTATTTTGCTAAGTAATGGGAAAATAAGTGAAACAAAACTTTGGGGGATCACATTTATCTTGTTTTGGATGTGACACTTTTGCTACTTGTAAGTCCATATAGTTTATAAAAGGAAGATGTAAGGGAAGAAGAATTCTGTCTACATAATATTATCATTCAGTTAAAATCAAGGGCCCAATTTAAAAAAAAAGTACTTTTACTTTAGAAAAGTATTGCCTCTGGGATACCAAGTATGGTATGAAATAAATGAGTTTATATATATATAGAGAGAGAGAGCACAAAATAAGTAAGTAAATAAATAAATAAATATGACACAAAATAGAGCTCCTCTTTTAAAAGTATATTTCAATTTATAATTACATATATTCATCTTCATTAGTGCTATATTTATTGAATTAAAACCATTATATCAACTTCATTGATTTATTATTTAATCAGGTTGGGAATGTCTACCATTCTTTGACTTAAATTTGTTTATATTGTTTTACAAGTTATTCACAAATTTTGGTGGTTTCATTTGTGTCAGCGTTGTGTGTGTGTGTGTGTATGTATATACATATGTGTGGTTTTTTTTTTCTCATATTTTCAACAGATTCTGAAGGGAGTGGTAATGGAAGTGAAGATCCTTCAAAGGACAGTGGAGAAGGTTCCTGTAGTGATTCTGAGGAAAATAATTTAGAGGAAGAGCTGAATGACGATATTAAAGTCAAAGAAGAACAACTTAAAAATTCTGCAGAGGAAGAAATACTGTCATCTGACAAACAGTTAATTAAAATGGAAAAGAAGGATGAAGAGGAAAATGGAGAAAGACCTAGAAAGAAAAAGGACAAAGAAAAGGAAAAAGAGAAAGAGAAAGATAAAGAGAAAGAGAGAGAAAAAGAAAAAACAACAGTATCTGATACTGTGGCTGCTTCTGCTGTGGCTACTACACCAGCCACAAGTCCTCCTGCTGTTAATGCATCCCCTTCTGCCCCCACAACGACCTCTACTGCAGAGGAACAAGTCAGTGAGCCAAAAAAGTGGAATCTTCGTCGAAACCGACCACTTTTGGATTTTGTCTCCATGGAAGAGCTGAATGACATGGATGACTATGACAGTGAAGATGATAATGACTGGCGACCTACTGTAGTAAAGAGGAAAGGGAGATCAACATCTCAGAAAGAGGGGAGTGATGGAGACAATGAGGATGATGAAGATGAGGGAAGTGGAAGCGATGAAGATGAGAATGATGAGGGCAATGATGAAGACCATAGCAGCCCTGCTAGCGAAGGGGGTTGCAAAAAGAAGAAGAGTAAAGTTCTTAGCAGAAACAGTGCTGATGATGAGGAACTGACCAATGATAGCCTGACACTATCTCAAAGCAAGAGTAATGAGGTAGATCCACCCAATTTTTATGATATCTGTCTGTCTGGGGAAAAGGGGATTCTTCTCTAAATCACTCATTATATTAAGTTGGCTTCCTTGAAATTCTATTTAACTGTGGGAGTGAATGAGCCTCCTTATTATAGCATTTATTCATTTGATCAACAAAACTCTATTGACTTTCTACTATTTGTCACCGTTCTCAAGGAGCTCACAATCTCCGTCATCAAGGAGAAATTTTTTTTTAATTGTAAACTTGGGAAATGATGATTTCCATTCCCATTTTTTTTATCCCCTCTCCCTTTTGTTCATAGGACTGTTGGATGGTGCTGAGTGGATTATGGAAAAAAAGGTCATTTTTTTCCTACTTAGTTTTGTTCATATCCACATAAAAATGCAGGTCTTTAGAATACTTTAGAGCAGGACAAAAAGCAGCATAATTATTTTCTCAGGCTCTAAAAATTCATTTTAAAGTTTCTTTTATCAGTTGTAGCACCCATCATCAGTGTAGTTACCAGATCTTTGGGCTATATGGGAGTAAATATGAAGTATGCTTACATATATTTAGTGAATAAATAATCTCTGCAAAGAAATGAGAGGAAAAAAACCCAAACATTTCCATCATAGAACAAATTTTCCTATCATAAAACTACAGTAATGACTCAGTTCTTCCACTTGAAGTTCTACTACTGAAAGTTAGGTTTATGCATTGGGTCCAGAGATGCAACATTCAAGATTCTTCAGTCAAACACATTTGTGTCTCTTTGTCTGTGTGTTTATGTATATGTTTTTCTTCAAAAGAAAGATTGAGTTGTTGTCTTACATGTAGATGTATCTGTTACATCACATGTATAACTATAATAATTAATTCTGTCATTTCTGTTAATGTGTTTATAGTCATCAAAGTTTACTTCTTTACCAAATACTTATTTTTTTTCATATCACTGAAGTAGCTTAAATTGCAAATTTTCTCTTTATGCTTTATATGTTTCTTCACATTTTTCTGCTTACAGAAGGTTTACATAGCAGTGATTATTTTTAATTAAATTTAATGTAAGATTTGGTGATTTTTCTTACAAAATTATGTTCAGCAAGCTATCAGCCGTTATATGTTAGTGAAGATGAAACTGCAGCTTTTATGTTGTATTATAAACATTGCTTAACTTCTAGGTTGCTCATTTTTCTATGAAGAATGTTGCCTTCCTCCAGTGCTATCCTAAATCTTATCTTTAGGGAAAGGAGAATTGTCATTTGGGATATTGCAGCATAGTATTTTTTAATGGTATGGCATAAGCTGTTTCATATTAATAATGCTGTTTTAGAGGAGTAGAAGTATGGAAATCTAATTGTTAATATTTAATTTAGACACACATTCAGTTTATTTTCTAATATTTAATACTCATTTTTGTCTACTCAATAAGTTTCCTTTTTCCAATATCTCTTCTTTGCTTAGTTTTTATATTATATTGATATTTACAAAAGTAGTCTGGCTAATGCTAGAGGCAATGTGGATTAGATTTATGGTAAGGTATGAGGGATACCTACATATATTTAGAAATTTGCTATATAAAGTGTGTATATACTCTGTTAATAACCTGTAATTCATAACCTGTTGCTTAAGAGATTTTAGATTATGTTGCATTTAAAGACCACATGTGCTGTTCTGGTTTTTTGTTTTTCCTAGTAGAAGAGACCTTATAGGTTTAGATTAATAGTCCCTAAAGACAATTCAGGAATGAAATTCTAAAGCACATCTTGGAGTTGCGCCCAAGTAAAAGAATTTATAGAAAGTTAATTTCTCTTAGACTAACATTCTACCTAAAAGTTTGATAACAGTGTTTGCCCCTCAAATTTTCGATGATTCTAGTTCTATTTAAATTATGTCATTCAAACTAGGCATTAAAGTTAAATTAAAAAACTAGTCAATGTAGACTATTACTTATACTACTGAATTTTCTATTCATATGATACTGATTTTGTAAAAAAGATGACTGAAGTTAACCCCTGTTGCCTTATAGCCACTGCTTATGCCTTCGTTTTCCTGGTTATCTTAGGAAGTGATAATTGCTAAATATGCATTAGATAGTTAATAAATACATATTTGGTATATGAAGTTTTATTTTTCTCTGCTTTTAGTTTTAAGTTTTCAGATACCATTTTGTAGTAGAGATAGCTGAAGATGTGTCTTTAGAAATATAAAATAGAATACTATATTTAGTTTATATGCACATACTTTTTCTTGGCTGCTGTGTCAAGTGCATTTTTAGAGAAGTGTTTGTGGCCATCATTTGTATGTAAATGATGTCCTGAATTTTTCACAATTTTGAATTTTCTTAGGGGAACTTAACATTTTTTTGAGCAGGGCCCTTTATAACTATTGTTGGTAATGCCTTAACATACCTGTGCCTTCAGGCCCTGAAATACTGTAGAGCAGTGGTTCTCATAAAGTTTTGGTCTCAGGACACCTTTATACTCTTAAAAATTATTGAGGAACCCTATTATTATTTGTTTAGATTATATCTGTTGATATTTACTCTTTCAAATTAGAACTTAAAAATTTCAAAAAACAAGACATGCAGATGTATACAAGTTGTCATATTAATGACATCGTTTCTCTTCATGTAGCTTCTGGAAAACTTCCTATACCTATGATAGGAATGAAAAGGGCAGATAAACCTAGCATTGTAAGGAAAACAGCCTTCACCTCTTAGACTCCCTGAAAGAGAGTTTCCAGGGTGACACCTTGAGGACTGCTGCTGTAGAATTGAGTATTGTTTGCATTTAACACAGTCTGAAGAATCTCCTTGGGATATGTGTGTTTAGTAAATAGTGTTTCCTTTTCAGTGTTTTTTCTTTAACCATTTGAGATTCATTACAATTATTTTGATTATTCACGTGATTCTCTTTAGTAGACTAAAATCTTATGTGGTAAGTTTATTGAAGAGGGCGATGTAGCATTTTCAGAAACTCACTTTTATGACTTTAAAACTATAGATTTGGATGAGAATTAATGTAACAGAGAAGATCATGTCAATAAAAATGGAAGTTTTTTGTTTTGTTTGGCAAAAGGAAGAACAACTCTAAATAATATTTAGCTTTGGAGATGATTTGGATTTTAGGTTACTATCTTATAAATGTAACCTTATAGTCTTTGCTTAATAGATTTTTTTTGTCATAAGAAGATTTTACCTTTAATGGCCATTGTCATCAGATTTTTGCTAATTAATATATATATATAATTTGCCAAAATTTATCAATAGTTGCTTTTATTTGGAATGTCTTACTTATTAATCAGTTGCCTTTTTACAGATTTCATGGTAAAACAAATTGCTCTAAGTCCTGGATAAAAATCAGTTTTTTAACATTGTACAAATATTTTTGGGGAGTCTTAAGAATTTAATGTTTTTTGAAACTTTGAGGAAGAGTGATTGGTCAGGCTTTTGTTACATTAATTTTTTCTAAACTTTTAATTCTGACGTATGGTGGAATTTCCTTCCATTAAACATTAGCACCCATCATGTTAGCTCCCCCATATTAGCCCATTGTATCATTTATAATCATTTACAATCATCTCTATGGAATACATGTATAAATGAACAGAAAACATTTAAAACCTGTGGAGAACACTGGGTAATATTATAACTTTTGAAATAAATTTTAAATGCCAATGGAAAAAAGTGAAATTAAGTAGTCTCTGATTTATTATTATAGTGCCCCATTTACTCTCTTCATATAGTAATTGTATTCCATTAAATTATTCTATTAGAATTATTTTTTGGGTGATACCCTTTTGCCATTCCATACCCATTTTCCTGATTTCTATTTTTATGTAAAGCCATATTATAAAAATTTTGTGTTAAAAATTTTAGCTTACCTATTTTCTCTAGAAACTTGAAAGAGGATAGCCATCTTCAGGGAGATACTGACAGAGGCCAGGTATGGTGGCGCATGCCTGTAATCCCAGCAACTCAGGAGGCTGAGGCAGGAAGATCACAAGTTTGAGGCCAGCCTCAGTGACTTAATGAAGCCTTAGACAACAGCAAGACCCTGTCTCAAAAAAAAAAATGCTAAGAGAAATTAATAATAACTTGGGTTTTATGTTCATTTGATCATAAGTGTGCTTAAATCTATATTTGATATGTTAAAGAAAAGTTAGATCATATTTTTTTCAGGAGGATGTATTTAGATTTTCTTATTGAAGCATTGTCTGCCAGCTATTTGTTTAGGTAAATATTGTGGGACTGTAGTTTTCTCTTTGCATTACAGTTCTGGGTAAGAATCTACGTGATGGGCATCAGAGGCCAGAAATACCACTTAATTTTGTTTTCTCTAAGTGACAGTGTGTGCAGAAAGAAATTGGTCTAGATTTATAATTTAGATATTCACTATTTTTTGAGCAAAAAAAAAATAAAGGAATTAGAGACACCCATTAATGGTGTTTTTTCTGACTCTAGAAATTTACTTTTTGCCATATGAGCAAACCATTTTTTTCATGGCTGATAATTTGTTGTAATTCCACCAGAGAAATGTTGGCAGAGTTCATTAACATGAATACCCTCTTGGTTATTAAACTGATTGTTCACTAGGTTGTTTCTTAGTCTGATTTTTAAAAAAATCTCTATTGTGATAGTCTTAAGAAAAACTTCTTTTTTGGACTTATCATAGAGCTGATGTTTAAATTTGCAGTGCTCTGTGAGGCTTGTAAATTTTCTTTTGGGGTTCTAAGAGACACCCCAGTATAATAAATTGTCAGTTTATATTTCTGTTTTTCAACCACCTAAAGAATAAAGAAGTGCAGAGGAAAGGAGGAAGAGAATGGACATTTATTGAGTGCCTAGTATTTGCCTGAAATGTTCATGTTACATATTGCTTCATTAATTCACATAACAGCCTCATGAGATCTGATTTTTTTCATCATTTTACAGATGGGAAAATTTCAACTTTTATGGTTCAACAGCTATTAGAGCTGAGGATGAAGCTGTTATCTTGGAAGCATATTAAAGATATGTAAATTTAGGCCGGTTTTTGTTTGTTTGTTGTGCCAAAGTACTATAAAACACGTGAATTTTCTCAAGGACTTTTTTTTAAACCTTTATTTGCGGGCTGGGGATGTGGCTCAAGCGGTAGCGTGCTGGCCTGGCATGCGTGCGGACCGGGTTCGATCCTCAGCACCACATACAAACAAAGATGTTGTGTCCGCCGAAAACTAAAAAATAATAAATATTAAAATTAAAAAAAACCTTTATTTGCTATCCATTTATTAACTCCAAATTATTTTTTTTGGTTTTTTAATAAAAAGGAAAAAGTATAAAATTTTGAAGCACTAGAATTCTTAAGGGAAATGACATTCCCTCCTTGTTGACATTTGAATTCTTTTCTGATTTGTTTTACAGGTCAATTTTAGATGTTATGCACAAAATATATTGAAATAATTGTAGTGACCTTCAAGTGTTTTCAATAATGACTTAAAAACTGCTGTTAAAATCCCAAATGTTACCTTTGAATATTGTTTGGCAGAGTTTAAAAGAATACAAAAATACTAATATGAAACCAAATATATTTAGTGAATGTATGGTATGGAACGAATTTTTTTTAAACATTTATTTTTTTAGTTGTGGGTGGACACAATACCTTTATTTCATTTTTACCTGGTGCTGAGGATTGAACCTAGTGCCTCATGCATGCTAGGCAAGCACTCTATCTCTGAGCCACAACCCTAGCCCCTGGAACTAATTTTTAATGATATTTTTGAATATAGTTAGGTTCATAAATAAAATACATACAGCAAAGTTTCATCATTTATTATATGTAATGTTAAGCTCAATCTATTAAATATGATAAGAAACATTTTCTTATTGAAGTTTAAATCCATGATGCAGAAGATTTAAATTAAAAGAAGCAGACTCTGCTATTTTTTTGGAATATTTATTTTTTTATTCATCTACTATTAAACCTTCCTTTCTCCTTTGTATTATAACTAGCCAGCGTCTTTATTACTAGTTTGCACTAGATATTTCTTGACATAAACTTAGTAGAATACTCTGACTCTTATGTTAGCTAGTTACCCTGGATTCTTTTTTTGATTTTTTTTTTTTGTATCTATATATTCAGCTATGCCTAGCTAGGCTCTGATTGACCCAGTACAATAATTCTGGAATTTCTGAATTTCCTAGTAAGTAATGGAGTATATAGACTATAACTTAGCCATCACATGCATACTTGCTTATGTGTTGCCTTTAACTTATTTCTTCCTGTTTCATATATGTTTGTCTTGTCTTTCCTAGGCAGAGTTAAAAACTCCCAAAGTGTAGGAACTATTTCTTATACTTTTTAAATCCATATATAGGATTAGTAATCACTTGTGAATTAATTTTCCTTTCTTTTAATTTAAGGGAAAAGCAGAATAACAAAGCACATAAGTTATTTGCATGCTTGCTTTTTCATTTCTCAGAGGAGGGAGAATAATGGAACTTAGAAATAGGAAACTAAGAGAGGGTACTTATAGGGTCCTTTGACAAAGAGGTATACTTTTCAAATGTAGCATACTTTGAAGTTACTAAAAGAATGGAGAATGTGACATAAATTTGAAAGTGCAAAAATAATGTTTTAAAATAGTTTAAAGTGATAATTTTATTTATTAAAACTATTTTTTAAGTGTAATTATCTTCTGATATATTTTAATATTAGGACTCGCTGATTCTTGAGAAGAGTCAAAACTGGAGTTCTCAAAAAATGGACCATATTCTGATTTGCTGTGTTTGTCTTGGAGATAATAGTGAGGATGCTGATGAAATAATTCAGTGTGACAATTGTGGCATTACAGTTCATGAAGGTAATTTTTCTTTTTTCTTTTTTTTAAGAAATGGCTGATACTGTTTAAATAGCTAAAATCAGCTCTTTTACATTGGTACTATTCAAAGGTTTTTCTACAATATTTTATGATAATTTGGTTGAAATAATACATACTGAATCCTTGTAGCATGGTGAATATTATTTTTGTGATTGTCTTAATTTAAAATGTGTTAAAAATAATTAGTTAAAAATAATTAAAATAGAAATATGGGAAGACAAGTATTTTTAAAAGGCTAGTGTAATGATATTTTCCTTAGTGATTTAATTTATTTTAGTTCTTAAGTAAAATTTAGAAATAGGAAAAAAGTCTAGTATATTAGTTAAATAGAAAATATTATTAAGAACTTAGATTCTAAATTTCTTCTTTCATAGTCGTACTTCTTGATTTTGAATTTGAAAGATCTAGATTTTTTTTAAAACTCTGAGACAGGAGCTACTATAATATATTGAAATTGTTCTTTAATTATAATTATAAATTTTGAAACTTTTATTTTTTCCTTAAAAATTTTACTTTGACATAATTTCTGACTTATAGAATTATTACCTGGATAATATAAACAATTCTCATGTGTTTTTCACTGGGATTTCTTAAATTTCTTAAAATTTCATTTTACTCTCTTTATTTTATCTTTTTTCTCATGCAACATTTTCCCCCCTCATTTCTAAGAGATTAAACTGCAGACATAACATTGTTTTCTCCCTCTTAGTATTTCAGTGTTTGTATATTTCTTAATGGGATATTCTTTTACATTATCAAAATCAGAAAATCAGCATTGATTGAATACTGTATCTAATTTACAGACTATATTCAGAGTTTGCCAGTTGTGCCAATACTGTTATTTCTAGCTAAATAAATGCCATAGAAATTATTTTCTTAGTGTATAATATTAGGAAGCATAAAATATTTTTATTTATGGAATTACTAGTGATATTATTTTGATCAGTTCATTCAGAGAGTATTTTTCTGGTTTCTCTGTGGCAAAGCTATTTTTTCTTATCAGTTAATTTGTTCTTATCAGAGCCATGACTACCATAAAGCAGTATTTCTGTGGCTTTGCCCTTACCTGCCTTTCTGGTATTACAGCTCTAACCTCACATAGTTCCTTTTGCCCTCATATGGACCCCATGGAACTGAAGCTGACTGTGAAAATGTCTTCTGTTGCTGTTACTTATTTTTTTTTTTTAGTAATGTATGTTAAGTATCTTCAGTATGCCTGAAATCCTATAAATTTTATGCATATGAAATAGCATTTACAAATAGCATATACAAATTGTTGACCTTATGGATGGTAAACAAATAAATCAATAAATATCAGATAGTGGTGTGAACTGGAGAAAAGTAAAGCAGGGCAAGTGGTAGAGGGGATGGGTGGATGGGATGGTTGTATGTATTGAAAGGAGTTTGTATTTATTTACTTATTTATTTTAGATATCTTTTTAAAACATTTTTTAGTTGTCAACAGACCTTTATTTTTATTTATATGGTGCTGAGAATTGAACCCAGGGCCTCACACATGCTAGGCAAGCGCTCTACCCCTGAGCCACAATCCCAGCCCAGGAGTTTGTATTTATAAAAGGCAGTAAGATTTCTCAGACAAGGTGATAGTTGACTAGTGACCTAAAGAAAGTAAAGAAGCAAATCATGTGAATATTTGGGGAATAGAGTGGAAAGGTCTTGAAGTAGGAACATTCCTGAAATGTTTGTGTATTGGTACAGAGGTTAGTGAGGCTAAAACTGAGAGAGCAAGCTGATTAGTGATGGGAATAGGGATAAGAATAAACCAGATGGGACCTTGCAGGTCATGGTACTGATTTTAGATTTCACTATGATAGATAGGAGTTTTGAACAGAGCTTAACATGATTTGATTTGTTTGGGAAGAATCACTCTTGTCTGCTGGATTGAAAGTAGATTGAAGTGGATTTAAGGTGGGAATCTGGGAGGCTGTTTAGGAGACCCCTGCAGTGACCTTAGAGAAGAATAGTAGATAGTAAAGTTTTAATTTTAAACAGTGTGGAGTTTAGGTAAAATGTTAGGATTAGAGATATAAATTTGGGACTCATCAGCCTGCAGATGTACGTAAAGTTTTAAGACTGAATGTGATATTTAGGAAGTAAGTATATATAACACACTAATCCTAGCTCTTCATGGAATATGGGAAACACATGGCCAGAAGGAGAACCATGAATGATGACTAGAGAAGAATGTTTCAGAAAGAGAGAGTGAGTGAGTGACTATGTATAATAATATTTTTAGAGTCAGATGAGGGACTCTTGTCATTTGAGAAACTGCCCTAATACAATGGTAGAGTTCAAGTACAGCACCAGGCAAACTATCCTAGAGGTTATGGGAAAATAGACTCAGTCACAAAGTGCCTAAACAAATGAAAAATATACATAAAGAAGCAAGGGAAAGATGGGAGTATATTAACACACTTAGGGTACGATACCAGTAGTGTAGAAACATCATGCTACCTAAATCCTGGGGTAACAGTGTTTGTATGTCCTGTTTTTTTTTTTTTTTTTTTTTTTTTTATCAGCCTTCCTTGCTGATGCTGTGCTTATAAAGATCAGAACCCAGTGTATCCTGAGTTGATACATACCATCAGGAAGATACAGGGATAAGTATATCTGACCACAGCTTTGACTCTCTAATTAACTTGTTGAACAGCCTTGAGTTTTATTTGTTTCTTAGGCAGTGGATGCATGATGCCCAGAATATCTATCACTGATGTATGGCCAGATTAAAAGTCTTATAAAAATGAGGTTCTTCATGTCTCATGCATATTGAATCCTGACTCTTTGGGGCCTTTTGTGTATTTAATAATTTCTATGAGTTTTTCTACAAAAGAGAAGCAAGGAAATGGGATCTTAGATAAAAGAGGTATGAAATCAAGGTTGGGATTTTTTCTTCTTATGTTGTATTTGTTATTAGTTGCTGTGTCAAGGATAATCCCCTAATAGAATAACCTAACAAGCATTTATTACTTGTGTGAGAAATTAGTTGGGTGGTTCTTGCATAGGATCTCTCACAGAGTTACACATAAAAACCATCAGCTCAGGCTGAAGTCATTTTAGGACTTGATGGTGCTGAACCGTTTGCTTTCAGGTTCACTTACATAGTTGGTAGGCCTCAATTCTTTGGTTACTGTTGGCCAGAGATTTCAGTGCTGCACCACGTTTGCTTCTTTATATGCTGCCTTAATGTCCTTGGGACAGGGCTGTTGGCTGTAGGAATGAGTGATCAAAGAGAAAAAGAGATGGAAGTAATTGTGTGAAAGAACTAGTATTTTGGGACATGTATCATTTCTTGAAGTGTTTTGTTGTTCACGCAAACCAACCCTAATCAAATGTGGGAGAAGACATTCAAAAGTGCAAATACCAGGAGATGCTGATTGCTGAGGGCTATCCTAGAGGCTGCCTGTGACATGTAGACACTGTATAGCATGTTATATACTGATGGAGATGACCCAGTGGAAAGGGAGAGTTGACAATTAATATAGGAAAGAAAGAAGAATAGTTGCTGGAGCAAGGACTTTTTTGGTACTAGGTATTGAACCTAGGAGCTCTATATCCCTGGCTTTTTTTTCTTTTTTTCTTTTTTTTTCTGATGGGGAAGGCAGGGTCTTGTGAAGTTGTAGAGGCTGGCCTTGAAGTAATGATCTTCCTGCATCAGCCTCCTGAGTTGCTGGGATTACAGGCATGTGCCACCATACCCACCTATGTAGCCAGGGATTTGAGTACAAGGTTAGAGGGGATGATATCCAGCCCCAAGTGGAATGATTGAATAGATAAATTGTCTTAGTAACTTAAGGGAAAAGAAGGTATAAAGGTACAGATATAGGTTGTTAGATGTGGTGGTTGGAACATGTGAAGTTATTTTTGGAAAGTTTCTTATTTTCTCAGTGAAATAGGCATCCAAGCTATTAGCAGATAATGGCATGGGGAGGAGTTGGGGATTTATGGAGAGGTAGGATAACATAAAATATTTTTATTCGGAGAGTATATGGACTAAGAAAATATGTTTGTAAAAAAATACATACATACATACATACATATATATGTGTATGTGTATCCATACATACACACACATACATATATATAGGTACATACACGTACACATAGGTTTATATAAATGTATGTACCTGCACATCTGTTTGTCAGCAGTAAGGGACCATTTGATATTAGTGGTAGTGAATATAAACTGAGAATGGTCAACATTATTGTGTATATATATGTATTGTGGTCTGGATATAGTTTGTCCCATGAGGTTCATGTGCTAGAATCTTGGTCCTCAGTGTGACAGAGTTGAAGTTTTGGGACCTTTAAGAAGTTGGGGCTAGTAAAAAGTAATCAGATCAGGTATGTTCCAATTTCATGAATGGATTCATGTTATCAATGGGTTGTTATAAGGCAAGTTTGGCTCTTAGCTCAATCTGTTACACATATACCCCCTTCTGCATTTCTCCTTCCAGTTCTCTGCATGTTGTGATGTAACCAGGAGTCTTTTGCCAGTTTTGGCTCTCTAGCCAAACATTATATATTACCTGTTGTCAGATATTCTGTTATAGCAACACCAGTTGGGTTCAGACTTGTTTTTTCTTTTCCAGATATAGTTCAGATTTCCAGAAGTGTGTACAAAGTGAAGGGAATATAACCTAACAGGAATGTTACCTAGGTTGTTGTATCTATCACTACTGATGATCACAAATATATTATGGCTATTTTATAAGTGTCATTGCTGATGTTTTATGCAGGAATGACTATGGTTGTTAGGGTTGGTGATTTATGCTGAGACTACAGTCTCTGTATTTTAGGCCATTCTTAGGTCTACTTTTTTTTTTCTCCTCTTTTTTTTTTTTTGTGTGTGTGAATGGTGAGTGAACGTTTTACCACTGAACTACATTCCCAGTTGTTTGTATTTTATTTTTTTAATTTTCAGACAGGGTCTCACTAAGTTGCAGAGGCTGGCGGTGAATTTA